CGGTTCTCAGTTTTCTCTTTCAAGTAGCAACGGGTTTAGAATTATCACACCGTCAAACCCGCTCTCGCCATAGGGGCAGGGCGAAGTGTCCATATATATTATTGAGACGCCTTTGGAGTTGTGTGTATTGTAGTTTTTCTTTCTGCATTATTATATAACTGTGTTTCACGAGGACTGGGTACTACCGAATTCACGAATTTGATTGGCTGAAATCGATATTGAACGCGGTCTAGATTACAACACCTAGACCGCTATTGTTTTGCGGCGAAAAAGTTGCAAACTAAGGGAGTCAAGTCACTATGTCACGAAATAGAATCTAAACATGGTCGTGTTCCACGTTTATAAAGCGTGTTCCAATCCAGGGGCAGAACGAGAGGTGCTCAAAAGGGGCGGCCGAAGAAAGAATGTGCCTTTCTCACTAGAAGAAAGGGACGACCCTTCAGATTACTACATATAGATTGGAGGGGGAAAATTTGTCACGTCATCGAGGGTTATATTTTCCTGCCGAAGGGAAGAGGATGGTGTTCTAACCCTAACCCGCAGGAATAGTACACCTCTGTAAGCAAGCTGATTCAGTAGAACTGAAACCAGTTATGACAAATCATCCAAGAACTGAATATGGTGCTCATAAATAAACGCAATAAACGACTACAACTGGGTGCTGAAGCTTGTTCAACGAGCTAAATATAAAATTGGGGTTTTTTCCGTCGAAATATAATGTGCGTGTTCAGGGATTTACGAAAAATGAGTAAAACATATAGTGACTTTCAACGTGATTCTAAAACCTGACATGCAGAGTTTTTTGCCAGTCAGTGTGTCGTCACATACATCACGCTTGTTCACACTCCAGTTTTACAGCGAAATCAGTAAAACCTATCAGGTCGAATGTCACTTGCCACACAGAATGTATTCGAAAAACATGTCAGCTTCTCTTTGTTGAAATTTCCGTTTTCTATTTTAATTACAGAGTAAAAGTTCTGTCAAAACACGGCACCTTTTGAAGTAAGGACTGGCAGGATTTATTGTCTGAAACTTAAATTTCTCAGATTTAAAATCAATTTAACATATTTAAAAGCAAGTTTATCTTTCAGTTTTCCGCTTTTAAGTTCATTCTTGTATTGATTGGCAATTTTGACTGAGTGGCTATTGACAAAAATATCGCATAATATAAAGAAACTTTTTATACTTCACAGTTGTTTTGCACTTGACACAACAATTCATCAGGTCTCTCAATTTGTCACAATCAAAATCTTAGCTGTAGCGCCAGTCTACTGATGTCGATAGAAACATATCGTGTAAAAATACAAAAAGAACTCATCTAAAACGGATGACGAGTATAATTTATTGTGGCTCGCTTGTTAGCTTTTTTCTTTGCAATGCAAATATATTTAAGCCGTTTTAAACCACTAATCCTTGTCTACGAAATTGAACAGAGAACCTGTTAATTTTCCTTCTCAAAATGTACAATGAATGCATAAATTAGAATGTTTTTTTTTGTTGTTGTTATAACATGCAATCTCATCAATTGAGTTCAACTGAAACCAAGAGTACATCTCGATCGTACTATTGCTGTAACTGACAACCTTGTTGGTTTCGGAGACAGATCCAGCAAAACCAGAGTTTCTCTTCGGATCCACTTTATACCAGTGAAATAATTAGTGATTGCAATATTGTTTTGAGCCGCGTTTAATCCTACTAATAAGAGGAAAAGTTATTACGGTTTCAGCTTCCGAAAATTGAGATACACTTGAAAACTTGAATACTACCCGTCTAAGCCTATGGCTGGTTTAAAACAATTGGGTGTCGATGGATTTTGATGTAAATTGATCTGAGAATGGAGTTTCCATTGTCATGTCAAAGTGCCTAAACACCTCTGACTTGAGACATATTTACACTTCGATCTGTGTTTCACTTCTGACGTTCTGCTTCCTTCGTTAATGAATCATACAAGACAAGAAGCTTGCTGCGGAAAAGATAAGTGAAATTATTCTTCTGTTATTGCCAAACCAAATCGAAAACTTGACTTCCTCGCCGAGAAATTGGATCCAAATGAGTGGCTAAATGACGTCCCTTTATACTCTAAAGCAAAACGGGAGCGCTTCAACGCAATTCTTGATCACCGACGGAGAAAACGCAAATCAGGGCAAAAATACCAAAGAACATTTACCACCCTTGAGTTTAAATGCGCCAGTTTTCAATGGAGAATTCAATTCCCAAGCAGGAGAACTTACCCCTGGAATATCTCAAGCGAAATCCGTGGAAAATGGTAACTATCTTCAACGAAGCTTCAGTCTTGAGAGTTCAAGAGTTACTCCTCGTTCGGAGAGAATTTCATCTTCGTCAATAGCTACACCCGGCCCATACACACCATTTCCTGGATTTCAAATTCCAACTGAAACAATTATTCCAATAGAAGATTCTGCGACTACGGCCAAGCGAAAAAAAGGAATATCGGCACAAGAAGCGATTCCAGTATTACCGCGCGCGGCCGCCATAGTTTGTCTAATTTTGAACATTGTCATTCCAGGTTCAGGTAAGATTCTCTTTCTCGATCATTTCTTTCTTTGCCGATGTCAAACATGCGGTGTCACTAGTCACCTTAATTAGTATTTATTTATGATGAGCGCCCTCTCATGAACAGAAAACGTTCGGATGAATATTCACTTATAAAATTGCATTGCGACCCGTACCGGCCGGTAGAATTGTGATGGATAGAATTCGCTCGTTTAGACAAGATGAGTTTCAGTACAGACAATGCTTAACATCGCTTGAGACATGCCAGACGTATGAAAATTGTTTATTTACGCTTATAGACCTAGCTATTGCATACGAAATTAAACATTCTCGCCGAGCGACAAAAAGCGTTTATACATGGAATTCAGTTCGCCAGCTTTGTTGTTTAGAAGGAAGAAACGCCTCAAAAACCAAACTGAGTTTTGTTGTAAATATTACCGATGCACTAGAGTTTTTTCGTTTACTTGTTGGTCACAACATGCAGACGTGAGAGAAAAACTTAATGATATTTGGCTTTTTCCCGTTTTATGGTTTGTTTGTTTGAGAAGTACGTGGGCGATGCTTGAAGATTTCCTCAAGAGTGTTTCTTAATTCAGGCTAAACAGAGATAACAACGTCGTTATTGCCGACAAATTATTATTTGTAGCCCAGTTTTTGAAGAGACAATATTATCAATGTGCTATTTATTTGGCATATCCCTGGTAATTGTCTGAATTGTCGATAACAGGCTGTTCCAAAGTCTTAAAACAGTTCAGTAGCTGCTTATCGCCGAAGCGAAAGCCATTGAACACAAAAGACCGGAATTGTGTCACATTGTGACCCCTATCTACTGTTGTAATTGGAGATGACAGGCAATGAATCAAACATGACCTCTTTTAAAGTCTTAAAACACCACTGTATTCAACACTTTATTTTAATATGTTATTTTGTGCTCTTTTGTAACTGGCACGATTTAGTGTTTCCTAATCATTTTCGTTTTCCTTGGTTCGGCCATTCTGTACATCTATACTCTCCTGTATCAAGTACAATTGTTCCTCAAAATATATACCTCCATTTCACAACGCCAGATCCGTCCGTTTTTTACTTTAACTTATTTTTTGTTCATCTAATTTCTAATTTCTAGCTGAGTGCAAATAAAGTTGTTGTTGTTGTTTGAACGCGACATGACCTCCATGACCTATATTTTAACCAAAATCCAACCCTTAGGTTTTTTGTGTGCTAATTATTACCGTGTCCGCGAGCGCTGTCTAACATAATCTAAAGAATTAATAACTCGTGGTCTTTGGAAAAGATACGATTGTAGTTATTTTTCAACTTGCTTTCACCTTCATGATCTCAAAATAATAATTACAAAGGTTTATCAGACGAGAATAGCTACCGGACAGTGAATAGCTTACAGTACCCTTCTTTTTAGCACCGTGCCAAATCAGATTCTCATAAAACAAAAATAGTGTATAGCAAAAAGAATATGTTAAGAAAATACCCTAGGCTGAGATTTTGTAAAGAAAACTTTTTGTGTGTTGATGGAAATAAAATTAAGATCACATGATTTTAAATGAACTTTATTTTACCATTGAAAAGTATGGTAAATTTTCTCCTTTTCGAACAAGACTTGCTAGCAAAGCAATAAAATCCAATACACGTAGTTTTTGGTAAAGCGATAAAGCACGTGCGTATTGTTACACGATTAACACACCATAGGGTTCTTTATGACTGAGTTCAGTTCCTGGTCACATCAAACCATACACTGAAATCTAACAATGTACGCAAGATTCAGCCGTAAGTCGGCTGGGCAGAAAAATGAGAATATCCAGTCTGGGCATTAAAAAGATACTTGTACTTTGTTATAAAAAAAGAGTGTAGCTTTTAGAGAGTTCCTGTTGAGTTACATACCCTTGGAGATTTTATGGTCTCAAAATGCTACATAGAAGCCCTCGAACCTCATTCTCGAGCTAATATTTGTTTAATTAATACTTTGTATTTTTAAAACTTAAAATTTCCGCGGCCTTCTTCAGAAACACGCTTGTTATTTAATGTTCAGAGCAGTGGCTGGAGGTCCTATCTAAAGTGACGACGTTTTCTCGTTTTTCCGAAGTTTCGGAGAAATATGTCGAGACATTACTGGATAATTAATTCTTGAGAAAACTAAACTTGAAGATGGAAATTCACTGTTACTTGACCTAATAAAAAACTCGACATTGTAGGGAAAAAACTGATGAGTTCCTGTAAACAACCGAAAGTTTTAAATGACAATTTTAAGTATGAAACTAAATACTACGTGTACAGAGATATAATTGAAAGACATTATTTGGAAGAAATTAGATTGTATTATTCTAAAACAATTAGACTACTCGCTCTAGATTTCTATGAGTTGATAGTGGATTTGACTTTTCGGCCTCATCAACTATCACCTCATGGAAATCTCGAACCCTTAATCGAATTATTTAAACTTGGTTTTCCGCTATTTTTCACGAAAACAATTATAGAAACAACGGAAAAGAAAAGTACTCTGTCGTCATCTGACTGAACTTAATGGACATTCGGAAGCTTTCATTCTTTTAGATTTGGTTTGGTTTAACTAAAGCAAGTTATAGGTGAAAATTTGCAGAGGGAGCTGGGCACAAAGCAGGACAAGAGACAAAAGATTGATACATTTAGTTTTCATTTATTCTTTAGTGTAAGTTGCCAAATCCTACTTAGCTAGGAAAAAAGATGATGACATTTACCCATAATTTTTAGCGCACGAAAATTGAACAACGTTCATAAAAACGTACAGAAAAGTTCTATCATCTGCAATCCTAGCATACACAACGTCGCTAGCACAGGGACAAATATTGCAAAAATATGGCTCAGTCATTGTGCTTTATGGGCTGTGTAAAGCTCTCAAGGTATTGTGGTAAAATGTACAGCCGCCATCTTTTTTCCTACGGAGGATTAACTCACGAATTCCCAGACCGTGATCGTCATGGAGAGAACACGAGTTAGGAAAGGTCTCATTTTACTGTTTGCATGTGTCTTTACAGGGACAGTTATATCTGGTCTGATAGCTTTCTTCCTCACTCGACGAGACATGTCACTTAAGGACCGCACCTCCATTCTGTGCGTCAATTGTTTTGTGGGAATCATGCAACTGTCAACCATTGTCTTTCTTATGATTGGTTGGATATGGAGTATAGCCTGGGGCTGTGCATTTGTAGGGCTTTCTGGTAAGTATCCAATTAATTAATCGGTTAATCAATCAATCAATCAATCAGCCAGTCAGTCAATCAGTCAATCAAGTATAAAGAAGGTATTAAGTGGATTCAAACAATATAAGCGCTGTCCACATACACTTGATATATTTTAAACTATTGCTTGGGTTTCAGTAGTCTTCAGTGACGTTGTTTACTTATGCATTACCCTGCGAGCAGGCTTATCGCGTGGCAAGAATGAAGGAGAGGAAAGGGGAACCTTTTTCCTTTCCTGACTTTCTTTCTCTCCAAAAAGCCTGCGAGCAGGCTACTTAGGCATATGAGGGGAAGGCCTAAGTAGCATTTCACCTGTTAAAGCTCTCAATTAGCACTACCTTTCTTAATCCTATGGAGGAGTGATGACCAGTTGTTCCTGTTCTCTAGAGTTTGCATTCTAATGAAATAGGTTGGGTTAATGCTCTTTCTTTTCAAAAGATCAGGTCTTATTAGGAGGCAGCGTGGCCGAGTAGTTTGGACGCCGACTTGAAATCCAGCGGGGGTGGTGGGTTCAGCCGGGCACTTTAACTTAAGGGCCACTTCTTGGGGTTGTTTCATGGATGAACCGAGTTCAAATCCACGGCTGCTCTTGTAAATAGCCAACTAGTTCGCCTACTGTCACTTAGGTTTTTAACTGTTAGAGCGGTTTTCATTTGTGTGTCGAAAAGTAATTGGTTTTGCACTTTCTACGCCACACGATTGGCTTAAAAAACTCGCGCCACTTTTTTTTTTATCCAATCAGAAGTAAAACCAAAACCAATCGTGACTCGTTTGCACTCGTTTTCCCGCGCTTCGCGTAAGCTACATATAATTACTTTGAGTTTTGATTGGTTCACTTTATTGTCTGTCTGTTTTGTGATTGGCTAGAGTGATATCTTTGGTTTTGGCTTTACGACACTCAATTGAACCTCTATGATCAAATTCTAATCGTTTTTTTCTAATGCTCTTCCCCTTTAGCTGTTGTGTTAAATTTCTTAATTTGTTATTTTTTGCCCTTCGACGCAAATTTTATGAGTTGTTTCAGAGTAGTCATTTAGCAGCAACTATCTTATTCATTTTTCAGAGCGCTACGGAAAAGAAATTGAAAAGGTGGATGGAAGTGAATTTGTTGCGTGACCTGTGCGCGATTTTTATGGAGCTGAAACTGCTGCGTTACCGCATGGTGGTGAATTTGTTGTATGGTTAGTCTCGAGTTAGACTTGCTGCTTTTTAAAACGGATGAAGGATTGGATAGTCTATCCTTAATAGTTTTGGTTTTTAATTATTTGCGCGACTGTCTTGTCACGCAATCAATTCACTATTCGCTGGTGACGCACAGTCGTCGAGTTGAATCTGACGTCATAGTCCAGGGTTGGACCCTGATGTCAATTTCGTGTAGCGTGTTATGAAAGTCAGGCTATGTAGTTGATTGGTAACCAGTGAACAGACTGGACACACTTTCCTCACTCTAAGCCGTAGTAAAATGTCGTGCGCGTGCTCAGCAGGACACTGCTCAGTAGGACCCAGAGTCTTCGTTCCCCTTGACCAGTGGTCGAGAAACGAGCAAAGCCGGAAAGATTCGATTTGAAGTCCGAAAATATCGGACTTCCGGTTGAATTGCGCATGCCTAGCTGACAAACACGAGGCTTAATCGAGATGCTAGTACTTTATATTTCCATTGCTTTTGAAATCAAAATCGATTGTTTCTTCAAGCTTGCGAGGAACGAAGACTCGAGTAGATAACTTTCTCAATGATGCCCTGTACTACAGAGTCTCCGATTGGTTGTTAGTTTGTAAATATTTGCCTGTCATGGAGAAGTTATTTTAGCCTACCAAACATAAGCATGTCTACTTACTACACTGAGGCAAAACCTTCACAATTTTTAACAAAACTGTACATATACACCCGGAGTGCTTTGTTGATGCCTTCTAATTATCAATGAAGACTCATTTCGTAAAACATTTTATTGCTAATAAGGTTGAAGCATTCCTTTGAAGATAGGAAGTTTGCTATGCCTCAAAACGGAAATAAAATTTGATGTTTTGTAGTGACAAGTAAACTTCTGTTTGTCTACCGAGCACTTTTCTCCAGACCCTAGTTGTTTAAAGGCTGGATAACGCTATCCACCGGATAAATCACTATCCAGTGGATAAGTGTTAACAAAACAAACCACGCTATCCACTGGATAGTGATTTATCCG